AACATACATATTAAACTAGTGAGTATTATATGTGATATTGATAGATTATAATATCCATTAGACGGCATAATTTTAAAATAGATAAGAACGAATAATTAATAGTGGTTTGTTTCTAATGCTAATCTCATCATTGCATATAAATGAATTATGGGTACATTAACTTAATATTTATAACATGAAAAAAAGGAGAAAAATTATGAGAAGCCAATCAATAAAATAATAGAGATAGTTGACGTTTTTACAATTGTTTTGTATTGTACTGGTAATAATGATGGTAATAATACTAATACTTGTGATGATGATTTGACGTGTGAGGGTAGAAGAGAATTATTATCTAAAAATCGGATATCCTCTCTGTTATTCATTAGCAAGAACACTGAGAAAAATAATGAAGTTTTAGCATGTTTAAACGACCAGACTTCTCTTCTATGAATAAAAACTCATCTAAAAAGATAAAGACGAAAGGAAATAAATGTGCAGGAAAATCATGTCTCATGAAGTAGCGAAAGCATTTTATTAATTATTTATCAAAAGAATAGAAGAGGAAAAACAAGATTTTTTTTCTATTATACGAGGAATTATTTTTCTCTAGTTAATAAAATTATTTTCAAAACACTGCATCTTTCACTAAAGATCTTCCTTAATAGAATACTAATATATTATTAATTATAACATATTAAATTAAACGAGAAAAAAGCTTTACTTTACTGATCCCTAGTGAACTAAATTATATATACTAGATGTGATAATAAGTATGCAAAAATACAATGATAATCACCACTTTTCTTTCAAAACTACAGGGACATTTTTTTTCTCGACTAGTTAATTATCTGATTGAATTCTATTCTATTATATCATGCAAATTCAGCTGACTGTCATGTAAAATTAATAGATCCATGTTCTCTTCAAAAATAATTTTTATAGACATATACACATTACATTTTCAGATTAATCAGTACAATCATATGTTTATAAGAGATTAAAAAAAGTGATAGAGGGAAATTTGTTTTTGCTAAAAACAGGCATACTAATCGAAAGAAGAGAAATCAAACGATGTAGTGATTACTTGTTGACCTTTTCAACAAGTACGATCAATAATATAAATCGACTTCATGACATATATACGAATTCAGATTACTATGTAGTCTACAGATATGAACAAAGAAAATTACTTTTGTCACGCATTATCTTCTATCTATTATACTATAAGATACTTATTTTTGAAGTAGCTTTGAATATTAAAGACATATCTTTAAAGGATACTGCATCTTGGAAAATATAGATTGATTCTATATGGAATTTATTCTACAATATGTTAAAAAAACAGATAATTAACTTATAATAAATATCAAGCTAATCTAACATTTGATAAAATGTATCCGTGTATAATGATACATCATTAATTTATTCAGTGATAATTTGCATTTCGTTTATTGACAACATGTTGTTATTTTCATTAGAATCTATTCAGATAATGATGTATATCCTTGAAGAAAAGAACACTTAAAAATTGTTATAAGCATTCTTACTTAAATCATAGACATATGTTGATGAAGTTGTTCCACTATTACACGAATGATTATTATTACTGGAGAAAGAACAAAAAAATCATATAAAGATTTAGAGAACTAATATTCATATATGTCAGCTTTGATATTATCCTGTTTGTTTGTATGATTAAGGATAATCCGAAAAAAATGGAAAATACTAATGATCAATATTTACATATGCATATAATTCTACTATTGTTCAAGCTTAATCCAAAAATCTTTTCTTAATTTAGGAGAAGAAAGTAATAAATTATAATTTACAAAGAACAAGTCTATCATCCTACACGAGTTATGATCATTAATTACAATTCAAAGCTCAATATATATTTGGTTGTCTGTCGTTACTATGATTGTTTTTAATATATTATGAATGAACCAATATTTCTTCAAAGTAAATTGTTTATGGTTCGTCACAAACAATAACTATTGTATCTATCATTTATTATTAAAAGATATTCTTTTATTCAATAGAAATTTGATTAAGTTTCGAAAAAAAAATATACAAATATTATTTAGCGTATTGTACTCAAAGTGCAATCCATTCTATCGAACGAAAATTAAAATTTTCGATCATGACTTTTCTCATCTTTTACATAACCGAATAATATGTGTTTCATTTTCCATTCAAAGCTCTCGATTATTTCTAAGAGTGATGGGGGCAAATACTGTTTACAAATTCTCACAGACAGTCATTTCCATTGGAATTTTTCATATGCAAATCAGCTGTTCTATTTCCTAAACATAAATTTAATCATAATCACACACTCATTCCGATATTCAGTGAAATTTGTACTGTGCGTCTATTCAAATAAAGATAAAAACTTACTTTGACGGCACTAAACACACTGCATCATTTGGATGAATCAATAACCGCTATATTCACCAAATTCGATAGATCTTCTACAATATGTACCGTAATCAATAAAAATTCTGTACTGCCTGCATATTCCACAGACACTCTATATTGTGCACTGTCTGATAGATTCCACAGATAATCTATATTAAGCACTAGAATGAACAGAAACTGAAACGCACCAGAACATTTCTCAAATATATCTTGGAAAAAATTCTGGCAGACACACAAGAAAAGTGCTGGAGGCTAGTTTCCGGTATCTCCTATCACATTGAGAGTCCTGTTTCGATTATATGAATTTAAACAAATATATATCCAGGGTACATAATTAAACGTTTGTTTTTTTGTCTTATTCAAGGAAACAAAATGATAGATTATCTTGAGTATGTTATACTGAAGTCAATTAGTACGAATGTTTTTACTCAAGAACGAAAATAGATTGATGAAAGAAATACAGAAAAAAAAAGAAGATTGATCGCACTCACACACGGATTTCACAGCACCACCAGCAGCATACAGAAAAAGGAATGAAAGCTTGTTTAGTCGATGAAACAGAGAAGAAAAGAAAGAAAATCACCGGCACATTTTACATAAGTAAAGATAGATGAAGTGTTTTAAGAATTACCTAGGATAAAATGAAAGAAAAACAAAATTATCTGTTTCACAGAAGAAGAAAAAGAAAGAGGATATGTCTCACCTCACATACACACACACACACACAAACACACATAATAAAATAAAAGTTTTTTTTGTATTAATTATTTCTTAATTTTCGAATTTCTTTAATTGCCCATGTTGCTAATGTTTTATTTTTCACTACTTTTGATCGTTTGCCTTCAGTTAATAGTTTTTCAAATGCTTCACGTTCAACAAATTGTAACATAACTTGCCCATATGTTGTTACAAGATCACCAATTAAACCAATAGCAGCACTTATTAATGAATCAGATTTATTTGTATCACGTGCTATTGTTTCAAGAAATTGCATTATAAATGGTAATTGTGCTGTAACTAATTGTAATTCAGCAAGTACAACTGAATTTGCGGTTGTCGTAGAACCACGAAGTCCTTGAATAATACCTGTATAAGCTGATAAACAACCTTCACGTAATTCATTTAAATAATCAATCATATCATAATCATTGTTAGCTACTTGAGCACGACAAGCTTGATTAAGTGTGTTTAGTACATGTTCAAGATAATTTTTGAAATGTCCACCTATAGCTGAAGCTATATCACCAAATGTACTTAAAATTTGAGTTTTTACTGAACGATGTAATTTATCATCCTAGAAAACAAAATGATAAAAAAAATAAAAATTTTTGGTTTTTATATAATTCTTTACACTAAGACAAGTAAATAAATGTGTCATTATTTGATCACAATATGGAATTAATTTATCAAGTAATGAACGACTTAATTCAGTAATAATACCAACAGCAGCTGCACATATTTGATATTCCGTATGGTTATTTAATGCTTCGTATACAAATGGAAGAACATAATCCATATATTTCATAAAGTTTAATCCCAAAACTAAAAAATAAATAGAAGAAAATATTCGAATATAAAACAAAAACTAACCTTCAACAAGTGTTCCAATAGCAATAAGTGCATCTTCTTGTACAGCACTACTTTTGCCAGTATTAGATTTAAGCATTGATAATAAAGCTTCCATAATTGGATCAGATATAAGTGGTGCATCATTTCCATGCATTTTTCGAAGAACACTCTAAATTAAATATTGAAAAATAAAATTATAATTCTTTATTCAAAATTTACTTGAAGTGTTGCACAAAGTAATGATTGAAGATCACTAATTTGTACTCGATCATTTGAATTCGTTGCATGACTTTCAATTGATATAACACGATTAAGACGATCAACTATAGTTAATGTTGTTTTTTGAACAGTAACATAACAATCCTAAAATCAAAAAAATGAATATTTTGTTTTTTTGCTTTCAAAATAATTTCATTATACTTTTGGACTATAACGAATCATTTCCATTAATGCTTCATAAGCTGCATTACGTAGATTTGATTGATTACCATCGGGTCTAAACACAAAAAAATACAATTAAAAGATTTTTTTTTGCTCCATATGTTGTACCTATCCGTTGTTTCAATCAATTTTTTAACAATATCATCAAAAAATGGTGATAGTAAATAAGTTTTCGGTGTATCATCTTCATCATCTAAGCTTTCTGCATGTTCATAAGCTGCACTTGCTAAACTTGAAAATGACTAAATCAAAAAAAAAAAAAGAAATCAAATTTCTTTTCATCTAAATTTTTCGTTTTTTTGCATACCCAACAAATATTTGTTGCTACACGTGGTACATCATTTAAACCATTTACAAGTGTTTTTCCAATTTCTCCAATTAATCCATCTGTCAAAACGGCTTGTGTAACAAATTTAAATATTCTTCCAATTGTCCATGCTGTTGTATCACGTACAGCAATATTTGAATCACGTAATAATTGGAGTAAAAATGGTATAGCTTGTTCAACAATTGGTTTTATACTAGCAGCATCAGGTCCTTCTAACATTGAACCAAATGCCATAACAGCTGCTTCTCTATATTTCCAATCAGCATGATTTATATTTGCAGTAATAAATGGTAACACATGTGGAATAATAGCATCTTCAGCACAATTTGCTAATAACATAAGACAAACACCAGCAGCTTTAAATGGATTCCAATCATCTTCATCATCACTTTCTTCTTGCATAGTTAATCTTTGAAGTAATACTGGTACTAAATATTGTAAAGCACCACGTGCATAATAACGACTTGTTCGTTCAGGTTGTCGATTTTGTTCTTGTGCCTTAAAATGATTTATAGAGAAAATTAATTTCGAAAAATATTAAATTTTACTTCTTGTTGAAGTATTTGTAATTCATATTCTTCATCACATACATTCGACCAAAATTCAATACCTTGTAAAGCTATTTCATCATGATTAGATTTCATTGCATCCATTGTAATCTGAAATCGATAGAAAAAATATTATATAGAATAAATAATTAAAAATTATCTTACAGCAAATAATGCGGGACCCATATAATATTCCATATAATCATAATATAGAGTAACAATTTTAACAAGATTTTGTATAGCAGCTACTTGAATTTTTATATTTGCTACTTGAGTCGCTTCACAAACAACTTGCATTATATAATGTCTTTCACTCTATGAAGCAAAAATAAAATAAATAATGTCTATTAGATACTTTGATGTCTTACATCATTTTGAAAATTATTTTTTGTAAATTCTAATGAATTAAGCATAGCTGTTGTTGCAGCAAGTCGAACATTATCATTTGTTTCTTCTTTACGCATACCATAGACAAGTGCAGTTAATATAACATTACTTTGAGGTACAAGAACATTTGAATCCTAGAGAAAATTTGTTTTGTTTTTTCTTCTTGTAAATAAATTTATTATTAAGAGAGAACAAAAGCACAGAAAACAACACACACAATAACACACGGATGAATGAATGAATGAGCTTACAATATCTTGACATATGTAACCGAGTGCTTCCAAACTCGCTTCCCGTACATTATCAGCTCTGCCCACTGTCGTAACATTGTCAACCAGGCGTTCTAAGATGGTACACACACATACAGTCAACACTCGACAACACGCTCATCAAAAAATTCGATGAAAGAATGATTATAAAATAAAACAACTTACTTATTAAATCTTGCCATTGACCACGAGGTAATTCAGCACAAGCAATATATCCAACACATTGAGCTGCTTGTGATGGTTTAGCAGTTTCAGTACCGAGTGTATTAAAACACTAGAAATATTAATAAACAAAAGCAAAAACAAAAATGTTGAACTATAGTTACATTATTTTTAATATGTGCTCGAGTATCTTCTGGTATACTAAGCCAACGTTCTTGATAGACTTGTTTTAAATTTTCTTCTTTTGAATAAAGAGCATTTTTAAGTTGCAATGCTAAAACAAAAGAGCAAGTCAATTAATTACGATCGCCTTTTTTCTATTATATCAATAGACATTAGGTTAAACTTTGAAAAGAACTATTCGTATAGATTATTGCATAAATATAGACTTGATTTTTTACAAAATTTGCAGTACTAATAATACGAACTCTCCTGAAAAATCTGTAAACTGAATTTCGTACTAATATTATTGAATTATTCGTTTTTTTCTGAGATATCAACTTCATATTTTTACCTGCTTGTGTACGTGCTAATGGATTATTTGTAGCAGTTATTAATATATCCGAAAATTGTTTTAATAGTTCAGGCTGAAAAAGAAAACAAGAAATGTTTTCATTGATTGATTATTCATCCGGCAATCTTTCTGTACCAGATTTTGTTCAGCTGCTTTAGCAAGAAAATTTCGTGCATTTTCTAAATCAGCTTGTGCTAAATACAAATAAATGACTATTTTATTTTTATAATTTCTTTTGAATAGAACACCTACATCCTGTGACTGTTCCCACAAGAATATTCATGATATCTTGTGTGGCCATTAGATTTATTTAATAAATAAGGGAGAAAAAAAACCGTAGGGAAAAATTCAAATCTAAAACGATGAAACAAATGTTGTTCGATGTTTCAGTTTTTATTTAAATATATTTATTTTCTTATGTTTTTTTCTTTTCATATAAAAACGAAACAAAAAAAAAGCAGCCAAACAAATTTGTTTGTTTTCTAATCTTCTGGATTTAAGCTAGAAGAGCAGCAGCTGTTGATGATTCATATTTCCATGTTGGTGGTAAGACATTTTTGGTTTTATAATATCTTGCCAAACGATGAATACGACTTTCAACAAGAATTAAACGAAATTTAGAATCTTTATCTTTACGATTACGTTCCAAATGTTTACGAATAGCAACAGCTTTTTTTATTAAATGATGTAAATCTTCTGGTTTACTTGGTGCAAGACCTTTTGCTTTCATAATACGTAAAATTTTACTGCCAGTTACGAAACGTGTTTGAGCAACACCATGTGAATCACGAAGAATAACACCTAAAAAATAGTTTTTATTTTCTATGATAATATTTTTCTTCTTCTTCTTCTTCTTACCGATTTGTGATGGTGTTAAACCTTTTTTAGCTAATTTGCAGATTTGATCAACAACGTCTTCGGATGTTAATTTGAGCCACTAGGAAACGAAATAAATGTTTAATATTGATTTAATTTCATAAATGTATGACTTACTGATGGTACTGTTCGTTTATAGGGTAAAGCAGAATCAGAAATACCCTTGCTAGAAGACGAAAATGAAATTTCAATGTCAAAAAATATATGGAGAATTTACCCAGGAGCATGCATACGACCCATGATGACGGTTTTTTAGTCAAAAATCTAGAGAGGAAAAAGTATTTGAAAAAACTATCGTTATCGTTGATTATGTGAGTGAAAGGATGTAAATAAATAATATTGCCCTATCAAACTGAATTTGACCTCCGATTGAATGAATTAAATTTTATAAAAAATTCAACATTTTTATATTCGATGAAAATTTCAGTGTATTTGAAGATGAATTTTCTTTTTTTTAACAAAAAAAAACTATTTTATTTTATATAAAAAATAATAAAAGATCGATTGTGATTGGATGAAAAACTAGCCAATTGAATTACATGTGGAATTTATGGAACTTAACTTTATATACTTATTCATAATTTTTAATTAAAACTATTATTAAAATTTCAATATATTTATTAATAAATTCTCTAGAATATTTTACAAATTTATAAAAAAAAGAGGACTCAAAAACAAAATTTAAATTGAGCTAATATTCTTATTCTTTAAACGTTCTAATGCACTGATAAAATTCGAAAAATCATATGAAGAAAGTTGTTGATTTTTTTGTTTATATTTTTCTTCGAATCGTAATTTTATTCTTCCATATTCATTTATCCAAGTAGATGAAGATATTGCTTGACCATATAATAATAATTCATTTCCATTTTGAAATTGATAAAAATCATATAATTCTGATAAGATATTATTTCTAATAAACCATTGTTGAACATCTTGATTATTCCATTGTTTAGCATCGGATAAACTTTTAGGTGTTGATATAGGTGGTATTTTGATAGAAAGATATTCATTGATCATTGATAATAATTCATCACAAGTATGCATAAAATCTTCGTTACCAAAACGGATATGCTTTGATCTAGTTAATGGACTTCTCAGCCAACTACTTGCTTGATAATCAGTATTAATAAATACTGGAATAAACTTTTTTTTCAATGTATATATAGCATAGAAAAATTCTTGGCGACATGCTGGACTATTGTAGAAATCTTTGGATATAAGAAATAGAATAAGATGTGATTGTTCAATAGTTTCGGCTATTTCTTTCCATAGATATTTGCCATTGTTAAAATCGACGGATATAGACAATTGAGGTAGTTTATTAAATATATCATAAATTTGTCGACAAAAAGTAATATCAACCTGAGAATAACTAATAACTAACGAATGAACTAGTTTATTAGATATGGACGTTAAGTTATTTGATTTTACAAGTGATAAAGGATATAAATTATGCCAAAGACCATCAATAGCCCGTCTTAATGATGGTATATAACGTGGTATATAAATATTATGTACGACTTTATCGACTGTATCAGTTGAACGTATTAGTTCAAGTCTTTTGATTAATTCAGTATGTTCTATTAATACGATTTTATATCGATCATGAAATGAAATATTCCATAAGATATTTATTAAAGCCATTACAGTTACACGATTTGAAATATCATCTAATTGTGTATTCTCTGTATAATATAAACAACTCGATAAGATATCTGCGAAAAATGTTGGAAATTCATTATTCTGTAGAATATGATCAATATAATTATTCCATGTGCATAATTTCATTATAATAATCCATAATTCTGAAAGATGAAAATTGAGATCTTCATTTGTACTTGACATACTAGCATTTAAAATTGTTGGTATTAAATAATCAGTTACGAATGTATTTATATCATAATTATCGAATTTATTAAAACATAAAATCATCATCATAAAATAGTTAAGATAAAATGTTCGAAGTGTATCATGATATAGAATAAAAATAATCATTGTATTAGCTATTTCAGGTCGAAATTGATATAAAATTTTATCATATTCACCACTACTAAGCAACATTAATCCATCATCATGACGTGCGATATTATATAAAATTCCAAGAATATATAAATAATCATAACCAGTCAAATACGGAAGCGATGACCATCGTAAACATGCTTGTATATAATTAATATGAATAAATATCGGAATTGTTTGTGTTTTACTACTTGTTCTCAACAGAAAAATTAATATTTCTGTGACTAATATTTTGTTATGCAAATGTTTATTTATAGTAAAACATTTATCAAGAAAAGTCATAAATGGTATAAAAATCGTATTTTGATATTTATCTAATTCAATATTTATCCATCTTCCATGTAAGAGTACTAAATATCGTAGAATTATAATTAGTAGAGATCCACAAAAATTGGTAATTGTTCGTTGAAGATGATCGATTTCCGTAGATTCGAATGATAGATCATTTTTAAGAAAACAAGCCATTCTTGTTGATGCACTAAGTTGATCAAGTAACCGGTAATACATTTGTTGTCGAGCTTTACATGTCATATTATCAATTAAATTAAATTCACAGATCTTATTAAATGAAGCTGAAATTTTATGAAAAAAATTCAGACATGATGTTGTATAATATTGCACGATAATATCAATAAATTGAGTCATATCAAGTAGTTCAAGACAATTTTTTAACATATATTCAAACATATCAAGAGTATCAATAGGAGTTAACCATTCTAATTTAATTAAATTCGAACAAGTATTTGCGAGATTATTTAAAATAGATTCTGGTGAATGTGTTGAAGTCTTTATTAATGATTGTCGTAATTGTTCGAATAATTGATGTATTTGTTGGAAATTTTCATTCATTCTCTTCTTATCTTCAATATCTGATTTACAAAAAACAAAACTATTCATTGAGTTACATCTGCACATATATATAAATGATTTATTTCTTACCTGAAGACAGTTTTTGTTCCATTGAATACTAATTCGATATACTTCAAAACGACTGACACAGATAATAGATAATAAAGTGTCTTTTATTTCAAAGAATAATTTTATTGGCCAAGACATTTTTTATCAAAATAAACAGAAGAACATTCTTTTGTTGCTTTAACAACGATTGATATCTTTTTCTATTTATTATAACAAAAAAAAGATTTAAATTCTTTACATCATAGTAACAATTAGAAAACATGATTTGATATATTTTATTATGTGAGAATAATATCAATTGTTTTATTAATGATAAGATTTTTATATATACAATAATTATTGATAATTGTGAAACAAATAGCATAGTGCATTCAAATACTTTCATCAGATTGTGATTACTCGTTGAAAGAAAATATGGTAATTATGTTTTTGGTCGACAGTCAGTTGGCCGACAGAATATTGTCGAAAATTTTTTGTCGACACGTCATTTCGTCGGCAAGACACTTCGACGACGAAGCACTAACAGAAAGGTCAGAAAAAAGGTAAACGATCCAAAACATCAAGTTGATTTTCATAGAAAACTTTATTTAAATAACATAAATATCACATCAGACATTTCATCCAAGAAACAACTAAGTACATAGGAATAATTGGCAAGAACAAACTATCTCGAGATTTATGAATAGAAATCAAGACCATGTATACAATTATTACCTCTTTCTAACAATCAAAAGAGAAAGTCCTTCAAGGTACTCGTAGAGCGTGATCTCTTTCTTATTATATTGATCAGTTAAATTTTTTGACTATTGCTTTTCTTTATTTTTCCCATCTTTACGTGTTGAATAGTTTGCTTTATATAAACCTCTTCCTTCTGAAGAACTTCAATGTTATGCCAGATATAGTGCAGACAGTATTAATTAAAAACAAAGTGAGAAATTTTTCTCGGCAATGACCGAAATGTCTGTCGACCAAAAATATAGCATTCAAAAATATTAACATACATAGATTATGTCAGCTGTTCAATATTATACACAAACGAATATATTTGTAGCAGTTAATATTTTTTATAGGAAGCTATTCATAGGAAAATTTTCTCAAACTCTAAACTTTTGATAATTATTTACATGAAGATTTATTTAAGCATACATTTCAAAACCAGTTACACTTTTTTTTTCAAAGCGTGTATATTATGTTTTATTGAAAAGAAAATAGTTCTTTCAAACATTTATAGAATAATCTTATAAGAAAAATAAAATGCGATTATGGAAGTGGATTTAATCCTTCGATTAATGTTGATGTGTTGTCCTTTGGTTGTAAATTACCATCAATTAATATTGCATTTTCATTATCAAGATTTCTACTTAAGAGCGTACCTAGGCCAACTGGTAATGGTTGAATATGATCAAAAAAATATGCATTAATTTGAGCACCAATAACTAATACCAAGCCAAAGAGATAAAAGAGCAAAACTGCTACTATAACAAAACCTAATTGACCAACATAATTTGACATAAATGAATGAACATACATTGGAAAAATAGAAAGAAGTATTTGTAAACCAATTGCAGCAGCTAATGCTCCAGCCCAGCTAGATATATATAGATATATATAAATTAAATTTACTTAAAGTTAGAAACATTTTCTACATACGTATTACGGAAAAGCATTTTTCGATTTGGTACATTATAATAAATTAATTCAAATAATAAAAATCCAAATATTGCACTGCCTAATGCTGTTCCAATTTGAGCAAGTCCTTCGTGTTTTGTCAAAACGGCAGGAGCTGATGAACTTATAAGTAAAAGTGGCATAAGAATTATAAATGATAAAAGCATTTTAATAGCATGAATATTTTGATCAATTGCAGATCGTTCACGTATTCGATAAATTATTGTTAAAACATCATCAATACCAATCATTAAACGTGAACCAGCAAATACTGATACACAAAACGTAATTAAAAATACCAAACCAGCTTGCTGTGATAAAGATTTTAGTAAACCATCAATTATATCAGCTATACCTTCGTCTTTAGGAAATGCATTTATTAGACGATTACGAATGTTATCTATGACAGCCTGATCACCTTGGAATATTAAAGTTGCAATAGAGAATAGACATAGAATAAGTGGTAGTAAAGATACTAATAAATTATATCCAATAAGAGATGATAGTGAGAAAGACCAATCATGCACTATTTTCCAAAAAAATTGAATCGAATGAAATTTAAATCGACCAAATTTTTCTTTTGCATTAACCCCCATCATACTATTTTTTGCATTGACTATTTGATATATGTAATGCTTGATTGCTTTTATGTTAATAACAAACCAACCGATACGAAGCAAGAAACTTTCTTTCTATACATATGCTTTTTTATGTTTTTAGCCGAACTAATAATATGTCTGACTCATCAATAAAAATTAACACGTGTTCACAAACACTGTGCTTTTGTTATATGATCGAAAAATATTTACCCACCCTTATACTCTAAACTCACTTCTAATAAATAAGCCTATCAAAAAAAAAATACATTATTCTCTTACTAAACACTAACATCTATTAAGTGATTAAAATGCTTCATCGATTTATCTTTGTTGACAATCGATAAACAAATACATAGACAAAAATATAAATAATCCTCTCAATAAACTTGTAAAGAGAAATCATCACCGACCAATATACTTAATAATGTTTTATCATCATCATCTATCTGATATATATATATCACTAAATCTAAATGAGCATTTATCATCTTTTTTTTCTTCACTTAAGTGATGAAAACACGTATTACTTTTGAATGTAATATCCCTTTATCTTACATATTAAAATTAAGATGATATTTAATCGAAATAAAACAGTATCATCAAACTTAGTGTAATAATAATAACATAGTATAGCCATAATTATATCAAATTTATATTTCTCTATTCATAACTATAACAATAGGAAGTTGATAAATGACCATTCACTGTCATATCATTCTTTATTGTAAATGATCAATAGATATGATTATTTTATCATGAATTCATATTTCACATTTCAAGATTTCTATCGATATATCTTTATAAGGTTCAATTAAGAAATATATATATACACAATACAGTTAAGTGTGAAAGATGATATGATAACATGACCCAAAATATTATCATTTTCATGATTTATGTATTTAGTAAAACGTGAATAAAAACTATTATTTTTGTTTTTTCCATGAACTATTCTTTCTTTCTTTACATTGACATTGATATATACATGTTAAGTTAAAAAGAAATAGAGATTATCCAATGTTAACATATCTAATTTCTTCGTTGATCGAAAATGTATATATATATGTATGCACGGAGAAATTGAAATGTCAAATGTACATACTTCCCTCTTCGCTTTCGTTTATAGAGGGGTTAATCACTTCTATTCTCTTTCGCGTCTCTCTCTCTCTCTCATATTGCTTTTGCGTTTTATTTGTTTGATGTTTTTAAGTTATGTTTTTGTTGACCTGTCCGTCCGTCGTCCTCGTTATTCTCTCTTCGTTCGACATGTGTATACACGATGGATATAGAAAATGATTATTGTCCACATTCATTGTTATTATTGACGTAGGAACGAAAAAAAGAAAAGACAAATTCATATCCTTTCAAGGTAATAATATGACAAGATATTCCAGCATTTATTATTTTCTATTTATTATTCTTATTATATTAAATAAAATCTTATCGAAAAGTATAACATTCAGTTATCGTACATGTTTACCAAATATAAATTTATTACATATTGAACAATATCATCCATTGAACAGTCAATTCTTTCGACTTGTAACAAAAGATTTTCATTTACATATTATTTATACATATGAAAATGAAACAATTGATTATAAATTTGGAAATTTTAATTTTTCATTACCATATTCAGCTAGTTTTGATTATCAATTTCAAACAGCTATTGATTATTATCATGAAATTGATACATGGCATTATGTTAATATAACATTTGATGATTATCAATCGAAAGTATTTATATCATTTAATGGTGATGAAACACGTTTAATACCTTTAATTAATTATCGTAATAAAAATTTAACAACAACAAAATTAAATGTTAATGTTCTTGTTGATGAACAACAAACAAATGTGACATGTTTATTACCTTATTCAGGTTTTGAGACTAATTATCAAAATTGTTTAATTAATATTAAAACTTGTGGTTAGTAGAAGGAAATTTGTGATTAATTAAATTATCTTCTTTTTGTTTCTAAAGAATATCAAACATGTACTTCAATAAATAATGCAGAACAGTATTGTCCACTCTTTAAAATATTTGATTGTCGACCATTTACAGGTAGATTAGATATTTTGGGTTTTATTTTTGCATATTAGATTGGTTGATCTAGATTTGGAATGTGGTTTAAAAACAATACCTGTTCGTTGTTTAACAAATCATTGTCAAAATCGTGGTATTTGTTATGTTGATCTATTACGAAATCTTACTCAATGTGTTTGTCCATCTGGTAGGGAACAAAAAAAAACAATTATAATTTTGTTTAGTATTTACAAATATTTTTTTAAGGTTTTGCTGGTAATCAATGTCAATATCAAATTGATGAATGTCAATCAAGTCCATGTCCGAAACATAGTCACTGTATTGATTTACCAAATAGTTATACATGTGTTTGTGGTATAGAGGATTAAATTTGAGAGGGAGAGAGAAAAAAATGACATGTTTATTTTAATATTTAGATCCTGGATGGACTGGTATTGATTGTTCAGAAGATATCGATGAATGTAAAACAATACAACCATGTAAAGCAGCACGAACTTGTATTAATCTCCCAGGAACATATAAATGTGATTGTTTTGATAATTTTGGTGGACAAAATTGTGAAATGGTATGAAAAATCAATATTTACACTTTCATTACTGACTTTTACATTAACATAAATGTTATCATAGTTGATACCATAATTCTATGAAAGAAAAAAATCTAAGTGTTTATTATTTTCTTTAGTCACTTGATCCATGTTTATCACAACCATGTTTGAATGATGCATTAAAATGTCATCCAATTCTCGAAAGTGATAATGTTGTTTTTCGTTGTACATGTCAAGCTGGTTTTACGGGTCCACGATGCGAAACAAATATTAATGATTGTGAAGGTATTATTTGCCCAAAAAATAATACATATTGTATAGATGGATTGAATTCATTTGATTGTCAATGTAAATCAAATTTTAAACGAAGTATGAAGAAAATCTATTTTAAAGATTTGATATTATTTTTAATTTTTTGTAGATCGAGATGGTTTATGTGTAGAACAAAATCCTTGTAATTCATCTCCATGTCATTCAAATGCTACTTGTTACAATTTGAATGGTGGGGAATATCGTTGTATGTGTCCACCGACATATACAGGTATTCGATGTGATCAAGATATTGATGAATGTAGTGTTTTTCCATCGATATGTCGAAATGGAGGAACGTAAGTTATTCAAATGATTATTCTAAAAAATTAAAGATTCATATGTTTTTTAAAGATGTGTAAATGAAATTGGTTCATATCGATGTTATTGTGCATCAGGTTGGATTGGCTCGACATGTGCGAAAGCTATTGATTATTGTCTTTCACAGCCTTGTAATCAAAATGGCACATGTATCAATAAAGTATACTGTTTTGCAAATTATATGAAAGAAATAAAATTATTTTTCTGCGAATATAGATAAATGGATTTGAATGTCGATGTTTATCAACATTTACAGGTGATGTATGTCAAAATGATATTGATGAATGTCTCGTAAATCCATGTATGAATAATGGAACTTGTTATAATTATATGGGTGGTTTTCATTGTAAATGTTCGACAGGATATTATGGTAATATTATATGATTATTTTTTATTGGGGAGTAATTATTTTATTTCATTCATCATAGGTGATCATTGTGAATATTCACCAGCTGAATGTCAACGTTTACAACAAGCAAATTTATCAATAAAATGTACGGATCCTCAGTTATGTATTGTAAATGATACAGAAAAATTAAATCAAATAAATCAATTATCATCGTATACATGTAAAACAGAACGCACGAAAATACTTGATACCTATTTTACATGTATCAATGAACAACTTTTAAATACATGTCATTGTCCTTCGGGTAAATAGAACTAATAGATTATCATTAACTAATCTTAAATTAATACATTTAGATCTAATTTCATGCATCGATAATCATCTTCAATCAAAATATTGTGGTTGTCAAAATGGTGGAACTTGTTTTTGGACTAATTCTACCAATTATCGTTGTTATTGTCCACCGGGTCTAACTGGTGAAGATTGTCTTAATGACATCAATCTTTGTTCAAGTCAACCATGTTATAATAATGGAACATGTTTTCCTCATTTAAATACATTTACATGTCAATGTCCAACATATACTAAAGGTATTTATTGTCAAGAATTTATTGATCCATGTGAACATAATCCTTGTTTGAATAATGGTCAATGTCAACCTATCAATAATACCTATCAATGTAATTGTACATCGAATTATATAGGTAATCATTGTGAATTATATCAAACATCATGTTTATCTCAACCATGTCAAAATCATGGACAATGTTTTGATCGTAATAATAATACATTTGAATGTCAATGTCCATTTAATTATCAAGGAAAATTATGTGAAGAATCTATTGATCTATGTAAAACAACATCAAATACAAGTCTTTGTTTAAATGGTGGATTATGTCAAATAATGAATCGTACAATACAATGTATATGTTTACCTGGTTTTACAGGTTTATTTTGTGACGTAAATATTGATGAATGTTACACAAAACCATGTTCACCACATGGTGAATGTCTTGATTTAATTAATGGTTATCAATGTCAATGTAAATCTGGTTATTATGGTTATAATTGTGATCGTCAACAAAAAGAATTTAGTAAATCATTAATACAAATACGTTCAAGTCTTTTGTCAACATTTCATTTACGTAATTCATCAATAAATATATCAAAAATTTTACCATATCGTTCATCATTAATACCAATACGTATACAATATGAATTTCGTACAACATTAAAACAAATTTCACTTCTTGCTATTGGAAAACGTTTTCAACAAGAATTAATATCTAATCGAATAGTAACAAATTTAGATAATAAAATTATGTTATCAACATTTATTGATAATCAAGATCAATGGATTATGATTATTATTGAAGTATATCAATTATGGATTGATGTACGTATTGGTAAAAATTCCATGTCACAACGATTTTATATTCGAAATTCTTCACTTGAATATGAACTTCAAAAAGAAATTATATTTGGTTATAGAAATTATTCGGGTTGTATACGACAAGTTGAAATTTCTTATAGTCAAGCATATTCAATTCTATTAACAGATCAATTAGTAGAAATGAATGAAAATACAACAGTTGGATGTCATAGGTAAATATTCATTATAGAGACTAATAACGTTCGTCCGGGAACTCGCTTAGCTCTTTCTCATTTACTGAAAAAACAATTGAAAACCGTGAAAAATCGGTTTTCGATGTTTTTTTGACCTTGCGGACATAGAAGCAAACAATTTTTGTTTGCAAGACTTTTCTGTATGAGAAAGAGAATATTGTATTAATTAATATGATTTATTTAGAACGAATGCGTGTGAAACTGCTGTTTGTAGAAAAAATGAATTATGTCATGATCATTGGTTTTATTATACATGTCAATGTCAATCTCCATTTTTTGGTGAACAATGCGATCAAAGTAATATTTTATTTTTGTTATTTTTTTTCTATTAAAAAGTTTGAATAATTTTAGTTGCTCCAATTGTAAAATTTAACCAATCAAGTTTAGTTGATATTTCTTCATCGTCGCCTATTTCAAATATATCATTCTTTTTTAATACACTTCAATCAAATGGAACATTATTTGAACTTTTTTCTTCTTCTTCTTCAAAATCAATTCGATTTACTCGTGATATAACTTCACAAAATCGTTCATTTGTAAAAATTCTCGGTACATTAGTCAATGGTCGTTTTCATTTGATTGTTATTGATAATGAACCTAAATCTGAAGAGTATGAATTACGTAATGAACAAAAATTAGATGATGGTCATCCACATCAAATTCAACTTGATTTAAATAATAATCGTTTGATTATTGATGGAATCTATAATGAATCATTAATAAAATTAAATCATAGAATTATACCAGATAAACTTCGATTGAATCCAGATAAGACATTAAGCGGTTGGTTACAAGATTTAAGAATTAATAATCAACTTATTTCACTTGATAACACAAGTCAATCAACAAAAGATTTAAATGTTACAAGTTTTAATACAGAAAAATTAGAAAATAATCCTTGTTATCCACATAATCCATGTCAAAATCAAGGGACTTGTCTGGTCACAAATTCACATGACTACTTGTAAGTTTACTTTGTTCAAAAAAAAAAGACATACATCATATATCATATATATATATGGGCAATCAACAGTGAGACATCCTGTCTATTGTCTAGATTGAAGTAGTACACTTTATTCTGCCTTTTCTGTTTAACGGACTTTTGAACCTTGAGTGAATATGTCCACTATTTTGCTTAGTATACATACACACATCTATGCCACTGTCCTTTTTCTCTCATGTCACTTCGATTGCGCTTTCCTCTCTCATAAGTGGCGCGAGTGAGGCCAAGTATTTTTTTTTTTCTTCTTCTCTTTTCTTCTCTTAACTGTACTTTAATAGAAATAGTAAAGGTAAGTCTGAACGAGACAGAACGGCGGTCACAATGCAATTACTTTCTCTCTTTCTGTTCGTTCATTGAGGGCGAAAAGTTCAAATCAGTGTGTCTACACATTATTTCTATCGAGTTTCTTTTCTTTTTTTTGTGTCATACATACATCCCACATGTTTGATAAAAGTCATATAGTACAAAAGTTTTTAATATTTATTTCTCTTCTTTCATTTCCATCAATAATCAGATGTCAATGTGAATCAAATTGGTTTGGTCAAAATTGTACACAAATTAATATATGTAATAATAATAACAGTAGTCTTTGTCCAGATGGATTTATTTGTAAAACAATTGATAATAATAATCAAGAATGTTTAGCAACTGGAACATTTGAAGGAAATTCAAGTCATTTAATAGGTTTATTTAATTATAGTTCAATATTAACAAATGAATTATCATTTCATCTTCGTGCTCATGTCCAATCAGGACATTTATTAACAATAAAAAATGTTTTGAATTCAAAATATTTTTCCTTTTATTTATCGGGAGAAAATCTTATTTATCGTGATTCAAGTTTATCAAATGATTTAATTATTGAATTAAATAATCAAACATTTAAACAATGGACATTATTTCATTTTCAATGGTTAGAAAATTCAACATTAATATTCAATTATTCCTATACATATTCAATTAATATAACATTCGATGAAATATTTTTATTAAATGATCAAATTGAATTAACAATTGGTAATGGTTTTCGTGGATGTTTAGAATATGTTTTATTAGGTGATAATCTTTATGTACCATTTTATAAAGATTTAATCAATGAAAATAATAATAATAATACATATATAAATCGAATACAAATTGAACAAATTGAAAATATTCAAATAAATAATTGTTCATTTACGAATATATGTGCAAATCTTACTTGTCATAATGGACAATGTATTAATGATTTTGATCGAGGAAAATGTTTATGTAATCATGGATGGGAAGGAGATTATTGTGAAAAAAATATTGACGAATGTCAACAAGGAAATAATTGTTCAATAGAACATAGTACATGTGAAGATCATATCGATGGTTATTATACATGTAAATGTCAACAAGGTTTTACTGGAAAATAGTAAGTTGTCTTTATTATTTTTTGCGGTCATTGAATTTAAATATAGCTGATGCCGTTCATTTTTTTTTATGATTATGGCTAAACACATTTTATTTATCGATGAGTAAAGATCATTGACTACATAGAGATTATTCTGATTGAAAGGATTATAAGATATCATCGAAAAAAGACTAGAATATAGGTGTAAATCTAAATTCATGTTTATGTTAATGATATAGATCGATTCTTATGATTTTTAATTATATATTGTCGATCTAATCGCTTTTTTTACTCTACTCTATCGATCATAATTGATTATTCAAGATTTAATGATAGCATCATAGTATAAGATTGATAAGTTCTTTTTCTTTTTTGTTTAGTTGTGAAACCAATATTGATGAATGTTCATCTTCTCCATGTGCTAATCATGGAATTTGTACAGACTTAATTAATGGTTATCATTGTAATTGTACTGATAATTATATAAGTTCAAATTGTTCAATATCTCTTAATGAAACTTGTTTTGGTCGTTTAAAACCTTGTCAAAATAATGGAACATGTATTTTAAAAAGTACGAATCTTTATGTTGATTATCCTGAAACAGAATGTCAATGTCAGGATGGTTATAATGGTCAATGGTGTGAAAATGATTTATGTTTAAAATTAAATTGTCAACATAATGGTACATGTCAAAGATTATCCAATGGACAAGCTAAATGTTTATGTACTGAACAATGGAATGGAACTGAATGTCAAACGGATGTTAATGAATGTATTATGAATAAAACGAATTTATGTTTAAATAATGGTACATGTATAAATTATCCAGGTGGTTATACATGTCATTGTTCGGAAAATTATCTTGGATATCATTGTGAACGAAAACATATATGTTTAGAACATACACCATGTTTTAATAATGGACAATGTCGACCGGATAGTGAAAATTATTATTGTGAATGTTCATCAAATTTTACAGGTTTACATTGTGAATTTCCAACATGTGAATCAGCACCTTGTAGAAATAATGGAACATGTATACCAGATAGTGAACGAGGATTTCAATGTAATTGTACAGAAACAGGTTATGAAGATGAAAAATGTATGACTGAAATTAATGAATGTCTTAGTAATCCATGTCAAAATAATGGAAGTTGTATTGATCAAATTCGTGGATATATATGTGTATGTCCTAAATCATTTATGGGACATCAATGTCAAAATAAGGTAAATAAAACTGCTGAACTGAGTTTAAGAATGAAGAATCTATTTTGCTTTTATTTAATTAACGTGTCGAAAATCAGTCATCCATCAATGTGTGACATGATTGACCGAAATATTTAACATGAGTTTTTTTCCCTTCTGTAGACACATTAATTGTTCTTGCTAGACATGTTAAGTGTCGATACATAATCAGTCTGACATGTTCTTGTAGAATAGGAAAGATGTGTACCATTTAATTCATTGTTCATTTAATTTTAGAAATTTCTCGCTTTACTTGGATTTTCTTATCATTATGTTATATGGCCTGGTATAGCTATTCTATTATTATTAGTAATTATTCTATTAACAATTGTCATTAGTCGTATACGTGAAAGTCGACGATCACGTGGTACATATAGACCAGCATTAAATGAAAATGGTCAAAGTTCGCGTGTAGAATTTAGTATGATTTTAAAACCACCACCTGAAGAACGATTGATATGAAAGAAAAATAAATCAATCCATGTTTGTCAGATATGATTAGTCAATTTTTTCTCCTATCATTACTGCTATTTTTTTTCTTATTCTACATTTTTGTGTTGTGTTTTTGTTTGTCATAATAATTTGTATGTCTGATGCAATGTAGTTTACTATGTTTTTTTGTCTTTATTCTTGTTTATAATGGAAAAAACAATAAATTTTAAATTACTATTCTTATTTTAAGATTTTCATTATGTCGGCAACATTAGCATCTATTGCTGATCATCTTGATAGTCTAGCTGTTGTTGGTGCAGGACTTTTTGCTGGTGCTGCTCTATATATAACAATTGGTGAAACACCAGCTCTACAAGATTTTGGTCTTGATGAACATTGGCGTTTCTTTCCACATATGTATAAAAGAGCTGCAATTTCTCAAAGTGTTTTTAGCGCAATTGGTGGTATAGCTGCTATTGCTCATGGTACTCGTATTAATGGCTCTTCATTCGATCGTAATCTATGGATTATTGCTGGAACAACATTAATTGGTATGGCGCCATATACAATCTTTCTAATGCTTCCAACAAATAATACGATTATTAATGATAATAAAGAAACAACATTAGGCAAAGAAAGTCAAATAAGTGTTACACAACGAAAAAAAATACTTCAAAAATGGGCTGGACTTCATCTTGGTCGTACTATTACTTCAGTAGCAAGTTTTAGTGCGATGGTTTTTGGTCTTAGTCGTCATTCATCATTATTATTAGGATGGTAAAGCAATTCCCGTCAAACGTGTCCACAAATATTTTATCCTTTAGTTTAAACTTTTTTTGTATCGTAGAAATGATTCCCGGTTTCTTATAGATGACATTTTTCTGATCTCAGAATTAAAATAAAGTCTCTTAGAAAAAAATAATAATAAGATAACTCTTATTTGTCTTGATGAGCGGAATAGATCATAAATATATTTATTCTTTTTTTTTTCATCATGAAATGATAAACAACATCAATAAAAAATAAAACTTTTTCAAAATCTTCATTTCTTTTGACCACCAAAACGTGCACGATATTGTTCAACCAAAGCAGTTTCTACACGTTTAAATAATGGTTGAGCTTTTCCAACTGTATGACCAGCTGGTAAATAACAATGAAAAGCATTGTCTAATCCATAATTAGATTCTTTCATATTAAGTTGTTCTCGTATTTCATTCGATGTTGTTGGCATAAATGGTTGAAGAACCAATGAAAGTAAATAAACAAGATTTAATGCAAGAGCAATACTCATTTCAGCATCAGCTCTAAAATCATTATATATTTTCATGAAGATATAATACTATACAAAAAAAAAAAGACTTACTGATCAGCATCAGAACCTTTACATTTTTTCCATGGTTCTTTCATTTGTAAAAATTTATTACCATAGCGAGACATACGTAAAACACATTTAAGACCATCGCGAAGTCTTGTTTTTTCCATAGCTTCGAGATAAGCATTCAATTCATTTGTAATTTGAGCAACAAATAATCGATCCAATGGTGTTTCTAATTTACTAGCATCACCAACTTTACCAGCATATTTCGTTTCACAAAATGGAATAGCTCTAAATATGTAAGACTATTGTTTAAAGATATGTAAAATATTTTCTTTATTTACCGATTAATAAAATTGCCAAGATTATTTAATAATTCCGAATTATTTTTTGACATTAAATCAGCCCATGAAAAGACACTATCCTATAAGAATTCATATGATAATAATAATTGAATTAAATGAATCTATTTACTGTAGTTTCTGGTCGAATATATAAAAGATAAAATCTCCATATATCCGATGGAATTTCTGTATCTTGAGCATGATCACCAAATACACCAGTACCACGACTTTTTGAGAATTTTGCATCTTCATAATTAAGATAATCTATAATATGAAGAAAAAAATAATAAGAATTTCTAAAAAAAAACTTATATTTACCTATGCCAGAAAGATGATTAACAACTGTAAAATTATCTTGTGATCCTAGAAGACAAGCTGGAAAGATAACGGCATGGAATGGTACATTATCTTTAGCCATAAATTGAAATAATTCAACTTTATCTGGTTGTTTCCACCATTGTTCCCAATTATCCGTATAGTTTGCTGTTATTGATAGATAACCAATTGGTGCATCAAACCAAACATAGAAAACTTTGTTAGTATAACCTTCTAAAGGTACTTGTGTTCCCCATTTAAGATCACGTGTAATACATCGTGGTTTAAGACCTTCATTAAGCCATGCTTCAGTGATACTGCTGGCTGTACTTGTCCAATGACCTGTCTTACATGATTTATCAAACCATGATCGAACTTCTGGTTGTAATTTTGGTAAATCAAGAAATAGATGATCGGATTTTTTAATTTGTGGTGTATTACGACAAATTTGACATTTTGGTTCAACAAGTTCGATAGCATTAACTAATTTTCCACATTTATCGCATTGATCACCACGAGCATCATTATATTTGCAAGCTGGATCTGGACATGTACCAGCAACATAACGATCAGCCAAAAATCTTGAAATTAACTAATTATATTTAAAATTAAGAATAAAAATAAAAATATGTTTACCGTTGACAAGTGTCACAATATAATTGTTCGACAATATCTTTAAAGACAAGATCACGTTTATGTAATTTCCAAAAAATATCTTGAGAAATTTGAGTTTGTTTTTCTGTAGATGTACGTCCAAAATAATCAAAATCTAATTGAAACCATTTATAGATTTTTGTATGGATATCATAATATTTATCGCAAATTTGTCTTGGTGTACATTTTTCTTCTAATGCTTTTGTTTCGGTTGCTGTACCATATTCATCGGTACCACAAATGTATAACGTATTGTAATTTCTCAATCGACAATATCGAGCAAAAACATCAGCACTTAATAATGAACCAATAAGATTACCTAAATGTGGTACATTGTTCACATAAGGTAAAGCACTTGTAATTAAAATATTTCGAGCATCAGGTTTAGGCAATCTATAATTAACAAATAGTTTTTTTGTTGAAATTCTATTAATATCTTACATCTTTTCATCAGGTTTTTTTTGATTAGCTAATAATGGTTTTTTAACCCATTCATTCAAAGCTTTTTCAACTTCTTCTGGTGTTCGATTGAAATCAAGTTCTTCTACAGGTGCTTCTGCAACAGCTTGAACTTTTTCTTGTTTTGGTTTTTCTTGTTTTGGCTTGTCCTGTTTAGGTTTATCTTGTTTAGGTTTATCCTGTTTAGGCTTATCTTTTTTTGGTTTAGCCGTTTTTTCAGTAGTTGTACTACCAGCTTCTTCCGTTTTCACAGTAGTTGATTCTTCAACTTTTAAATTTTGTAAATTAAGATCGTTGGGATCGCTTGACGTTGCCATTATCTAAAATAATTCGTCTACAAATATGTTTATATATGTATATATATATATGTGTGGTTTATCTGACGCAATATATGATTAAATATTTATGTGTCATAATGTAACCATTTGTTTTTTTCTTTTCTTTCATTCTTGTTCTACAACACATCTGATTAATACACAGAGAAAAAAATAATAATAATAACATACTATCAACCGAAACAGTACGCTAGAAGATCAATCGTTAAAAAAGAAGAAAAAAAATCATAATAATAGCATATTGAGTTTTCTGTTTTGAGTAAAAGGAGAAAAAAAGAGATATTTTTTGTTTAATCAGTCGCAAAAGCGAACTCATTTCCACAATTAAAGGCCGAAAGAATAACAAAAAAAACACACACATGCATACAGTCAAGTACTATTGCACAATAGTTTATCAATGTACAAAGAAAAAAAAAGAAGTGAAAGATATCAGACATAAAAGAACGGAAAAAAAGAGATTGCGCATATTATATATTCATTCTAAAAATATCAAAATAGAATTAAAAAAAGTTGAAATTTTTTTAATGAATTAACTTACGTTCTTGTATAGATTGCATAAATGGCGAAGAATCCAAAGTATGAATAGTTGTTATGAATGATTCCTAAGAAAAACAAGAGATATACGAAATATATCTTTCAAATGCATACTTGTCTTGAAGATATACTAATTCGTTTACTTGTATCGAAACTATTTGACCATTCATCTTGTAATAAATGAATAGGACTACTGGTTTTTTTTGTTAAATTTTTATTTGGTTCTGGACTAAAGGAAAAAGCACGACTTAATCGTTTATTTGCTTTATGAAGTCCACGTTTCAATGCTAAACCAAGTAGATTTAAACTACTCGTTGATCTTGAACTTGAATCAATTTCTGAATTTTCAAGTGATGTTTGAGAACAATACATATTTTGATTATGATTTGAATTATGAATTGTTTGAATAAGTGACGACTAAATCAAAAAAATCAAAATAGAAAATTTATTTTTTATTCAATTCATTTACTTTATCAAGTAAACATCGATCATCGGAAATAGCTTTAGATAGATAATAAAGTACATCGATTTTATTATTTCCATGACGAGTATAATTTGATAGCGTTGATACTGATGATAATGAAGACATTGAATCAGTAAAATAAGATTTTGAACTACTACTATTTGTACTTGTATTTCCATTAATTATACGAAATATAAGTTGACGATTTTGTCCATCAATTGAACAAAGTATTCCAAATTGTTCCGTTTCACCATCAAGTGTTAATACTGATGAATTAATATCATATAAAGTTCGAATATCACTTAATGGAATAAGTACAATATGTTTATAAGATTTCGTTGCTTTCATACTTGGTGTTTTCCATGTATTAACACGTACTTTCGTTATCTAATATGAAAATAAAACTTGACAATAATTTATCGATATATTTTTAACATACTTCAAGACAATCTGAGAAAAGAAAAAGTGTTAAATGTGTTCGTGTTGTTGTTAATTCTTGAGATAATTCAATAACTTGAAATTTTTCAATATAATCACGATGTGCAGCGAGTAATTCAGGCTAATAAATTAATAATAAATAAAATCCTTTTTCCTTTTTTTTGTTTTGACTTACTGGACAATTATCAATACTATTAACAACATTAAACATTGACAAATGTTTTTCTGTTTTTCCTCGTTCATCATTTAATTTTTTTGCTATTTCACGTAATTTATCCAATGAATCAATTAATAATTGATAATCAATATGTGTTGTTGATGTATATTTTAATAAACGTTCTAATAATAATAATATACTCGGTAAACGTTGAATTGGTCGTATCATTAAATCCGCTAGATGTTGTTTACCTAATTCACTTTTATGTTCACAAATTTTAAGAAAAGCATAAAAACGAGAATTTGTTTTTTCTAATGTATGAATTGCTTCAATTGTTTTATCATAAAATTTTGTATATGGTTGATAAACACGTAAAAGTTCAATTGACTAAATATAAATATCGAAATTAAGTTTTTCGTATTTTTAAAAGAAATGATAGACGCACATTAGTTAAAAATACTGAACCAATACATTCCTCTTCATTGATTGCTCGATCTAATTGTTCAGCAATAGATAAATGTAAATGATAAATTTCTTCGATATTTCCAAATATTTGTGTACTTTCAACTTTTGTAAGTATAGGACCATTTCGACGATCATCTTTTTCCATTTCTGTCTTGAATATCTGTTGAAAAAAAAAATCAATGTTTGGTATTTTTATCTCTTTAGATTTAGATCATCTTACTCGAATAATATTTGATAACATTGTCACATAATTCCGTTCTGTTTCTCTTAATTCCATTCCAATTAAATATTTATTATCTTTTTTTATATTTGGTTGTTGTTTTTCTATAAGAATATCTTCATCATTCTCATTTGTACTACTATTGAAACGTTTCGAATGTGGTGTATGATCAATTTGATCAGCTATATAGGAATGTTTATGTCGACGTTTTCGTTTAACAGTCGTATTCAATGATGAATCTAATAATGCACTATCACCGTGTGTTGATGGTGAAAATAATAATAAAGATGAATCTGGTGTTGTTGTTGTTGTTTGATTACCAGTTAAATTAACTGCATATATAGATTCATCAGCTTTACCCATTAAACATAAACATTCCCAAAACCACTAGAAAAAAGTTTTACTTTAATCTTTCTCGTATTTTTATTAAATTAGAAATGAATCATACTTGGACATGAACAATATACTGTCGATGTTTACGTGTATAGTTTGGATAAGTAGATATAAAAAGATTTATATCCGAAATTACAATATGTGTTGCTTCACTCATTTCTTTTGTTAAAAATCCACCTAAAGAAGAAAGAAATTTCAATTTAAAAAAGCGCTCATCGACTAATTATAACTTTATTTACCATTTTCTTTCGTTAAACTATGTAAATGTTGTATTTCGTTTTCATTATTAAAACCAAATAAGAATAAATTAAGATTATGTAATGGTTTAGCACGATGTATTCGAATAAGTTCGGAATCAAATGGATTAAATTGACGATTATCTCGTTCATTCCAACAACGTAAAATCCATTCTTCTGTTAATATTTCACTTCTTTCCATATTGAATGCTGTCTAGAAAGAATATTAAAAAAATAAATTTATTCATTTAAAATAGAAAATTTATTTTTACAAGATATTTTTCACCAATATTTGCATGTGATATGACATGTGTAACTTGATCGCTATAATCTTTTCGTACGGATCCACCAAGATAATGAACAAAATCACTAAATTCCGTCTAAATTAAAATAAAAATTCTATTTAAAAAAAAACAAGATTAATATTGTTTTGTTTACATGTGTGTCTTTTCGAATGCCAACAAAGCAGATAACAGCTGAAGATAAATGTTGACAATATAAAGGTCGATTTCTTCTTGGTACAGGAATATCCTAAAAAAATATTTCTCAAAAACAAAAATTTTTTATTTTATTTTTCTTACAATTTCTTTTTCTGCACATGATAATACGAGTTCAGAACTAATCGTATAGATATCTTCATTTTCTTTTATATATTGAAATATACAATCATCAAATGAATCAACAACATAAATACGTAATTGACGTTGAGATAATAAAGTTTTTGTTTCTGTTAATGTTCGAATTGCATGTCGTTCATCATTGATACATTCATAGACATAACGATGTTCAAGTGATGATAGAAGTCGTTGATTTGAACAAGCAGAACCAACAATACAAAAGGTAATTGCTAAAAATGAAAAACATTATTTTTGTTCTTATATCGAAAAACAAATATTTACTCCAATCATTAGAATTTGTTGGAGATATATTATCACTGTTCTTTTTTAATTTATTACGTCGTTGATGTAATTTCGAAGTCGAAAGACATGAAGATGGAGAAATATTTTCGTTGATCATTTTTAATTTGTGTTTTTTTTTACAAAAACATCTCAAAAAAAGAGATGAATGACTAGATTTTAAATATATAATCAATGGAAATGAATAGGCATTATAGTCTAGTAAGTAAAGTTTGGTTAATATTGGTGGAATATTCGAACAGAAGAAAAACAAAAAATTATCAATATATAGAGGTCACTATTTAACGTTTAAGTGAAGAACGAAAGTAGTTTTCATTAAAATATGAATTCAACATGTAAAAGAATAAAATTTGTGTATGGTTTTTGAAAAAATTCATGTTTTATAAGATATCAAAACTGAATAGAATAAATTGAGCAGTTTTAATTCTTAGAATGACGTAAAAATTCAGAAATTGAGAATATTTCTTCGTTGTTTACAAATACATTTATACACTTGATATGACATTACTGTTTTTATGTTCCAGGTAACAGAGATGGGACCGGTTCGGTTCGGCTCGAGACACACAAAGCGATTGAAACTTGATATTCCAATATACGCGTTAGATTATTTAGATCTTTTCAAAAATCACATGATTATATAACTTTTATGTAAAAATTCTTTGTACAAACTTTTAAGGCTAATTTTTTTTATATAGAATATAGGTGCTTTTTCAATTTTTGAACATTGAATATTGAAGTACTCAGAAACTTTTGCTCTGATGTAGCTTGTTCAACTTATCTGACAAATCAAATCTGGTAATCATATTCATTGTTTTAAATAAACGACAAGTCTTGATACCACTATTACATTACTCCCTTTTCTAAAAGGAAGGGTTGTAGGCTTGTTAAACGGCTGGCTAAAAATCGTTAAAGTTTGTTTGTCTGTCCAAGCCAGTCAGATTTCTTCAAGCTGTAACTTGGCTCAGCAAAATTATTCTGGACAAGGGTTTTCACCATTAACCCTCTGATGACATTGTGGGATCCAAGAAGACCCATTTCACAAGCTTTTTACTTAATTCTCTCGTAAGAGTTTGTGTTTCCGATCGGTTCTCACATCTAATCTCTAGTCTTTTGTTAGTACACACTATTCATATTAGAAATCATGAGTAGGTCTAACGGAGAAAAAATACAGCTACGGGTTCTTGTAGACCCCGTAACAACTATGGTGCTATGATCTTTTTTTATATGGTGATACTGCTGTCATCTATGCTCTCAGTGTTGTTTCCTTTCTAACGATTTATTCCGATTGGTTTTCATCTTCGCTATTTATAATAATGACTCACATTTAGTAAGAAGAGCATGAAATCTGTCATCTTCAACTTATGACAATATCATTTTAAAAAAGACTCTACTCAATCCTTATTTGTTGTACGGAGTGCTTAGCACGAAATGCGTTCATATCCTCATAAAACTAAAGCATATATATCCTTATGATATACAAATGAAAAGTTTTAATGACGTTAAAACTTTGTTTTTTGATGAACTTTCATAGGCGGGTCCACATGTGCCCCGAATCAACTACGAAGTTAAATAATGAGAATATACACGAAGGTTTAAGGCCGTGTTCGTTTTTTTCGATATAATATACACATTATAAGTGGATGACGATAGTAGTAGGCTTTTATTCAACGATCGATTTTTTTTTCTTTTTGTACGTGTTTTAACAGGTAAAATTGTATCATGACATGGTGAAAATAATTCGTTCTTTTTCTCTTCAGTTTACAATTTGAGTATGTTGTGCTAAGTGAACCTTTTCATTCAAATATTTTATTGCTATGGCTGAGTGGTTAAGTGCTTCGATATACAACCACAAAGTACTGTATTTAAATCTTGATGCTACCAGACATAATATGACCTTGGACAAGTCACTAAAGGCCGTTTGTCTTAGATCATCCAGCCGATAGCACACTGACTGCTTGCTTGATTGACATACATAAAAATTTACTGTGATTAGTAAGTGCATACGGGAAGCTTAAGTGAATAGGCGGACGAAATCTACGTCGGGTCGGGCTTCTGCCCAGAACCGAACTTAGTAATAGTTGTAGAGTAAATATGGGGCCTCTCGAAACTGTCACCAGACAGTGACCCATACTGTAAGATAGCCGAAAGGTAGAGTAGTTTTTCTTTTCTTTCTCTCTTTCTTTCTATTCTAATATTTTTACGAGTTATATATTGTGTTTTAGGCATGCACTCAAATGACATTTACTTGCTCTCGATAAGAATATGTAGACTCTCTCGATAATTGATGTGTTATATAACCTATTTTTAAAAAAAATTTCGGTTGAAGACCTTTTTATGCGTTTATTCATGCGGATGACGGTATATATAAAGTATTGCAAAAATGTGAAAAGAACTACTGACAAAGTTTTATTAACCAAGTTATGGATCATATACAAGAAGAAGGTATTCAAAATTCAAGGTAAAATAAATATTAAATCTTTAATATGATAGAATTCTATTTCTTTTTAGTGTTGAGAAACCGACTGAAAAAATAGATAAGAAAAAAACTCTTTTTCAACAATTATTTCCTAAAAAAGAAAAAAAAGATAAAGAGGAGATTAAATCTGTAAGCCTTCGAAGTTTGGTAAGAAAAATCAACAAAAAGTGTTTTGTAAATACAGTTTAAAATTTAGTTTCGATATGCTACATGGATTGATTTTATTTTAATATTAATATCATATATAGCTGCTATTGCTAATGGTGCTTCATTTCCATTATTAATGCTTTTATTTGGAAATGTTATTAACACATTTACTGATCATTCATTTAACTTATGTTCATTAAATTTAACAAATATATCTCTTCAATATTGTCCATCAGGTGTACAATTAACATCAACAAATTTTTATACATCATCATCGTAAATATATATTTTTGAGACACATTTGTTTTTTTTTCTTCAAAACTTAATCATGTAATTTAGATTATGTAATTTAACTGATTTAAATATAACAAACTCAATAAATTTTAAAGAACAAATTCAAAAACAATCTTTATATATGGTAGCCTTGGGTTGTTGTATGCTTTTAATTGGTTATTTTCAAATATCATTTTCAAGTATAGCAGCCGAAAGACAAACACGAATTATTCGACAGAAATTATTTCGATCAATTGTTAATAAAGAAATAATTTATTTTGATATGAATAAAACTGGTCAATTAAGTATAAGATTAACAGATGATATTAATAAAATTCATGATGGTATTGGTGATAAACCTGCATTAGCAACACGATATATTGCTTCATTTATTTCTGGTCTTGCTCTTAGTTGGTTCTTTCTCATTTATTTACTAATAAAAAAAGATAATATTTTTTTGCTAGGTTTTTCTATAGGATGGAAATTAACCTTAGTTATTCTATCGGTATCACCAGTAGTATTTATTTCAACTGTAATAATGTCCAAGGTTAGTTGATTAAAAGAGTATTTTTAAAAACAAAAATATTTATTTATATAATTAGCTTACAGCGAGTTTAACATCAATGGAATTAAAAGCTTATGGTAAAGCAGGTGCTGTAGCTGAAGAAGTACTTAGTTCAATTCGTATTGTTTTATCTTATAATGGACAAGAACGAGAAAAGAAAAGGTTTGTAAATAAATATGAAAATAAATCTAAACAAAGAAATATTTCTTTTTTTAGGTATAAACAATATTTAAATGAAGCAAAAGAACGTGGAATAAGAAAAGGTGCAGCTAATGGTTTGAGCTTAGGTGTTTTGTGGTTCATTTTTTATTGTTCATATGCATTAGGTATTTTATTTACTATTAAACTTGAAAGAAAATTATTTATTCAAAAAAAAAGGTTATTGGTATGGATCAAAATTAATTGAACATGGAGAATATGATATTGGAAAAGTTATGATTGTAAGTTAAACTTAATTTAGATTTTCTTTTTTTAGAATTTCTCATTATTAATATTAGATATTTATGACAATATTAGTATCTGTTATTGATTTGGGACAAGCTAGTCCACATTTACAAGCAGTAGCTCAAGCTAGAACTGCTGCATCATTTGTATGGAATATTATTGATGAAGTAAATGTATTTTATGTAAATAAAAAAGCTAAATTAATTTTATTTATTATTGACTAGCCATCAACAATTGATAGTAATTTAGATGAAGGAATTAAAAAAAGTGATTTAATTGGAAATATTAAATTTTCAAATGTTACATTTTCTTATCCATCACGTTCTGATATTAAAATATTAAAAAATATTTCATTTAATGTAAAACAAGGTGAAACAATTGCATTAGTTGGTTCATCTGGTTCAGGTAAATCAACATGTATTCAATTATTACAAAGATTTTATGATTTAAATTCTGGATCAATATTAATTGATGATAATGAAATAAATAAATATAATTTAAAATGGTTAAGACAAAATCTTGGTGTTGTTAGTCAAGAACCAATTTTATTTCAAACAACAATTCGTGAAAATATTTTATTTGGCTTTGATAAAGCAACCGATGAAGAAATTTATCAAGCAGCTAAAATGGCAAATGTACATGAATTTATTATGAATTTACCACAAGTAATTTATTTAGTTTTATAGTATAAAATTTAATTTAATTTTTTTGTTTAAGCAATATAATACTTTAATAGGTGAACGTGGTGCGACATTGTCAGGTGGACAAAAGCAAAGAATAGCAATTGCTCGTGCATTAATTGGAGATCCAAAAATTTTACTTCTTGATGAAGGTGGTTTATTGTTTTTATTCTTTAATTGTTTTATTATTTTTATATTTAGCTACTAGTGCACTTGATAATGAAAGTGAAACAATAGTTCAAGATGCTTTAGATCGTGCATCTCAAGGTATTTCATTTTTAATTCTTTGATTTTTTATTTTACATCAATAAATAAGGTCGAACAACAATTGTAATTGCACATCGTTTATCAACAATTCGAAATGCTGATAAAATAATTGTTATGCAAAAAGGTGAAATAATTGAAGAAGGAAATCATGAATTATTAATGAATAATCAATCAATTTATTATAATCTTATTCAAAAACAAAATTTACATAATACACAAGATAAAACAAATTCTGTTCCTGAAGAAGAAAATAAACAAAGAAGAATGAGTAATTTATCATTACAATCTCTTAAAAATAATCAAAATAAAGAACCAGAAGAAATAAATGAAAAGAAAAAAGTAAGAAAAAATGTTTCATTACAATTGTTAACAATGAATAAACCTGAATGGATATTTATTTTGTTTGGATGTATTGGATGCATTTGTAATGGTGTTATACAACCGACAATGGGAATTGTTCTGAGTAAATTAACTGCAGTATGTTTTCTTCTTTTTTGTCATAAAATTAATTTTTATTTATTCCAATAAAAACAAAAGGTTTTTCAAGAATGTGATAAAGATTCTCGAAATCGAAAAATTCTTCTTTATAATTTAATATTTATTGGATCTGGAATCATTTGTTTCATCGCAACATTTATTCAAGTAAATAAATTTAAAATAACAAAGAAGATAAATTTTATTAATTTAAGAGTTTCTTCTTTGGTTGTTCTGGTGAAGCATTAACAAAACGTCTTCGTATAAAAACATTCGAAACATTACTTCGTCAAGATATATCATATTTTGATGATCCAAATAACAATACAGGTGCATTATGTACACATTTATCAACTGAAGCATCGGCTGTTCAAGGTGCGACTGGAATTAGACTTGGAATTTTATTACAAAGTTTTTGTTCACTTGCTGGTGGTCTTATTATTGGTTTTATATTTTCTTGGCAATTAACATTACTTATTATGGCTTTTATTCCATTAATTATGGCAGGAAGTTTTCTTGAAAGCCGATTAATGACTGGTTTTGCAAGTAAAGATAAAAAAGCTTTAGAAAATGCTGGAAAGGTTTTTAGTTTTTATATTATTTTATTGTTTCTAC